GACGACCAAATCTAGGAATGATACAAATCCGCGGAATCAGGCTAGGAATTTCTGATCTGTAACAGTCTCGGTCCATATCGAAACGTTGGCAATCGTTTTAGGAAGTTCCTGCAAGAATTAACAAGCTCTCAAAGTTAATCACTGCCTGGTTTTGGCTATGTCTTGTCATCATTTAAAAAGCTTTTCGATCAGCTTCCCTGAAATTAATGTTGCCTCGCCGCTTCTTACTTTATTATCAATGCGTTTCTCTACTTTCGTCGCAGGCGAATCATAATATCAGCATGTAAAAAATTACAAAGATCATGACAGACAGGTTAGTCAGACCGCAGGAAGTGGCAGGCAGGTGGGTTCGGTCGAAGAAAGTATATGGCAGGCAGAAATGGACTGACGAGGGAACGTTCAGAACTGATCAATCACTTTTTAAATTTTAGACATGCCAATTTGTAGAGGTTGTTGAGTTATTAACTGATATAATAATCATTTCGGCCAACAATGCGGCTGTAGAGTAAATTTCTGATAATCAAAGTTTCCATTAACCTGTCCATACCCTATAATGGTCCTACAGAGGCCCTATAAAGGCCCTGTAGGACTGCTATAGAAGGCCCTCTACAGTGGTTCTACAGGATTCCTATAGGGTCCTATAGAGGTTCTATAGGGAGCCTACAGAGTTCTATAGAGGCGTTATAGGACCCCTATAGCGCCTCTATAAGACCCTATAAGCCCTCTAGATGATCCACACAGGACCTTATGAAGCCCTATAGGAGCCTTATAGGACCACTATAGAGGGCTCCTATAGGCTCTCCTATAGTGATCCTATAGGGCCTCTATAGGACCCCTATAGGGTATGTACAGGTTAATGGAAACTTTGATTATCAGAAATTTACTCTACAGCCGCATTGTTGGCCCGAATGATTATTATATCAGTTAATAACTCAACAACCTCTACAAATTGGCATGACTAAAATTTAAAAAGCGATTGGTCAGTTCTGAACGTTTCCTTGTGAGTTGATCTGCAGCCTGTCGTGAGTCAGACAGGTCTAGGTAAAGCAGGTCTGTTTGGACCGCAAGTCACGATCCTCAGCAAACCATAAATAGGATGCCTGAAAAGAGATTCATGAGTTATCACTACCATCCCTAAGACGAGTCTACAAAATCATATAAGTCGTACTCGAACAACAGGGTAAAAGTTATGTACATACTCTCAAACATCAGCTTAAAAGCGACTAGATATGTTCTGGAGATAGGATTCAACAAGTTGTTGCCTCAATGTTCAGATGCAACATCAAAAGCTAAAAATATAAGGTGCAAAGAAGTGTTGAGCAGTTACAGAGTTTATATCGAAATAAGGTTGACAACGTTACGAATATGACGTGTGCGAAGCCATCCAAAGGACCTAGACATCATAGCGTAATAGAGCTCGAAAACTTGTGGCTATTATACCTGAGACAATTTCTCAAGGTACTAGATATTATGGTTGTAAAGAGCTGAAACGTTGTCAGTATTGCGCACGAGATGACCTCTGCAAGTCACATACATAGTGGTTGCAGAGCATTCAAAAAGCTCTGACTATTATGTTCGAGAATACCTCTAAGAATCATAGATATCAAGGTCGGGAAAAGCTCGAAAACTTCTGATTATTATATCCGAGGATGCCTCGCACAGTCATCAGATATCATGGCCAAATATGGTTCAAAAAGTAATCGATATTATCCCTAATTAAGTGTTTATTAAGTAAGTGCATTAATTAATTAATTCTTAATTATGTACGAGTAACATATTTTCTTAATATCATAACTTTTAAAGCATAGAAGATGTTTTAGTGGTAAAATGTCGATACATAAGTGGGTTCGAACTTTCGAGTTTACCTCTCGAACTAACTTTTTTTTGATCTAAATTATATCAAACAAGTTTTTATCCCAAATGAAAAGAGCATGGAAGAATCCGAAGAAAAAACAGGACAAATTGACCGATTGAAAACCGATTCCACTCTGGTTCATTTGGTTTAATAGTCTAAACAGAAAAGGAGCAAAACCGATATATTATAGCAAACTATGAACTCTAATTTGATTGGTTCATTTTTTCTATATGAAATGAAACATATTTATTTGGCTAGCGTGTTTGGTTCACTTCCTATGACCACTTTACAACGAGGTTACCATTGTTACCTTTAAACGATTTGAAATGAGGTCGCCACCTGATGAGTCTCTTATGCAAGAGGGAAACCAGTCATAGTAGTTGTTCTCATCCTCACCGATCATCATGAAAGAGGATTCGTTCAAGAACATAAATTCCATGAATTTATCGAGAACAGAAAAGAAAGAAATAAAAAAGACTAGAGCATGTGATTATTATACAGCTTGTGTTTGTTTTTTACCTCTGTTCTTGATGTCAACGACATTTTTGTGATTCGGAAGAAACAAAACATTTCTGAAACTCTTTAGTAACTCATCTTTCATACAGAACTACAGTTTAAAATAATTTTATTCTGGTTTTTGTCTGATGACTGAACTAATGGATGGAAACAACGAGTTTCCTCATATTCCATTTAAGTGTTCGACATGTTTTCATTCAACTGCTGAGGGAAAAGTTTGGACAAGACTATTAATCAACCTATGTTGGTGGCTCCACGATATGTATGAAAACAATAATGTTGATGCCATGTGGAATTACATTGAGGAGAAAATCGATCACTGTCAAAGCTTGTTTCCTGGAAGATTTGAAATCATGTTCTTCGATCCTAATATTTCACCATCCGAGCAACATCCGCTGTTGATTTGTCGTGAAGATGAACAAAAGATGATTATTCTTGTATTTCGTGCGACTGTTTCATCCAAGTCGATTCAAGACGTCTTCACAGATGCCAAAATCTACTCAGATCATAGTGTGGATCATGGTACTCCACATGCCGGATTCGCTAAAAGAGCTAAGTTAGCCCCTTTAACCGCTGTCACTAATTGGCTTTGTCTAGGATGGAAGATAATTATTACCGGACATTCACTTGGTGGAGCTGTCAGCCAGTTATTTACTGCACAAATTATTAATAGACTTGTCGAAGCTCGCTTATCACCTGAGATGGTTTCATTACGTTGTATCACCTTTGGAACACCTCAATGTGCCGATCATTGTTTCTGGAACAATTACACAGAATGGTATAATGTGTTTGACACTTATATTTATGGACATGATGCCATATTTCGATTGGTCACTTTTGGAGGTAATCCGGCGAAGAGCGTCATTCACGGATTCAGTGCCCATCTTGAACAACTTGGACTGAGGTTAAGCACTAAGGTAATTGGATACTTAGAAAATATTCGTGCTCAAGATAATAGTACCATTCACACTTTTGCCAGTAATTTCTGCATTCCCACGTATTCGATATTTGGTCGTCATCATTTTATTCTTAAAAATGAAGATAGTCAAGTTGAAATTAATTCGGTTGGAGAATCACTGGAGGAGAAAAAACGATTATCAGAAGACTTACAAGCAGGGCGTGTTTGGTACAAATATTTTATTGAAAAAAAATTGATTCCTTCTCGGTTCGAATTCGTGTTTGGTGATTTCATGGATCATGGGTGTTATCCACGTGCTATCAACCAATACTTCAATCGAGAAGCAACACGTCGTTTACAAAACACCGCTACGGACAAACCAAAACTGCTCCGAATAAAATCTATGGACATTGGGGTGCAATCTACTACTGCCTCCCAAGATGTTCCTGACATATCGGCTTTCATTCATTTGCCCGATGAAAATAATTTAAATAATATTTACTTCCAAGGTTTTTTGGCAAATTTCGTCACTTTTGTCACGTTACCAATTGAACTGGCAGAACCTGAAAGCTCAAGAAAGAAAACTCCGACCTTCTCGAAAGATCGACTAAATGAATGTGCGGTGTTGTGTCATGCATCGGAGACATCGGCTCAGTATTTGAAAACACGTTCGTCGTTTAAAGTTAATGTCGCAACTGATTTTGTCACATTCGATATCGAAGTTGTTGTTCTGTCTAATGTTCATTCATCACTAGCGACACCAGACAAATTTGGTCCGTTACACACTATGATACGAGCCTACCGTGCCTTTATAACAGATGAGAATTCTATCCAAAACAATCATTCACAATTATCAGACCGCTTTCGTCTTCTATTCGCCTCATTTCAACGCCTTGGTGAAGAAAAAGTTGACACTATTATGGCAAAATATTATGCCGAGTGCCATTGTCGGAATCTTAGTTCAGACACAATCGAATTGGTATTGAAGTCAAATCCTCCACAACCAGAAGATCCAGTTGAAAATCAATTCAAACTCATCCTGGATTCTTTAGACCACCAAATACAAGATGAGAATTCAACTAAAGACAAACGTGACACTGCGTCAATCCTAAAAAAAGCTTTATTACGAGAGCTACAAGATCATTTCCCGACGTTAGCGCTCGGAAACCAAGAAGAAAACATATCTGATGACTTCGCATTCCTTCGCTCAGAATTCAACTTCAGTCAACTTCAAGCACACTTGCGTTACTTACATACCGACCCTGATCATCTAGATATTGCGAAGACTTACAAGATGATCACGGCCACCCTTTTCTATATTATCATAAAATTAAAAACCATACCTTCCGTTCAACCCTACACATTAGGTCAGAAACTGACACAATGTACCAAACACTTTTCGAGTGAACGAGGCAGCATTACTTCATCCGCCGCAGCCACAGCACAATCCTTCGAGCAGGAACCATCAGACTCAGAATTCACCACAACCACATTCGTTAAAACAGCCATACCCGCAGCACCTGTTCCAGCCATCTTAGTCGCGGCAACGGCAACCAAAGTGGCAGCAGAGGTTGGGAAAACAGCAGTAACGGCAGCTGTTCAAAGTGCAACAGAAGGAGCAGCAGAGGTTGGGAAATCAGCAGTGAA